TTCCCACACCTTGTTCTTCTGGAGTTTCTGAAGGAGGATGGTCCACATTGCAGTGACCTAGGTCCTTGCCACCTCCAGTCAGGCTGCATTGTCTGTCCCTCTGCCACTGTTCAAAAAAATCACAAGACTGAGGCTTACTGGGCAGAGTATAACCTTCTGTTATCAGCATACTTAATAGCAATGGGCAGCTCTTTGTGACACCAGCCCCTAGCAGAGGATGCTCAGTTTGACCTCAGCAACTACCAGCTTCCAAACGCTCCTCAACTTTATATTCAAACTTGATCACTGTCTTTCTATTTATTTTATTCAACTAAGCACAAAGTCTGTAGTTGCCTGAGTACTGAGCAATCAAATATCTCAAATATCTCTTTCTTTGTCTTTTTTTTCTCTCTCCCTTGGACAGCCTTTTGACCCAACTGGCTAGGTGACAGAAACTGTCTGAATTACAGATTATAACACAAACAACATACTTTAAAAGCAGTCATTTATTAGCATGTCTTTTTCTCCTCCTCTTTTTCTTGGAAGGCAAGTCACCTTCAATCTGTCAGTCTCCACTGAATGAAATTTAGCAGGAGAGGGACTGTACCTACACTCCCTGAACTCCCCCAGCTTTCCTTTGCGTTTGGAATATGTTTGGAAAAATTCAGTATTTCGCACTCTGCAGAATCAGATTATTGCTCTGCCTCTTTAGGCAAAGAGTTAGATATGATTGCCATAAACAGCCCTTATGATTAAACCTTATAACAATGCTGATTACTTCATTGTTGTTATGATTAACTTACACAGAACCTTAAGATTAATAAATGAAACTCTTGTCTTTGGACTTTTGCATCTGCTCCCTCCTTTCTCTTTCTCTTTCTCTCTGTCATTTTTTCCCTCTAATGATTAATTTAATAAATTTAATGAATAACTCTTCTGATTTACTAGCTTGAAGCTATGTAGATAAGCATCCCAACTTGAACTGTGAAAAATGTGATGTCGCCCACTGTGCGATGGGATTTCACTTTTCATTCGGCTCTTGGAAATAGCTGGCGCTGTTTCTGTGCATCCCTCTTTCTCTTCCAGTTAAATCTCATTCACTGAAGTAAGAACTTGGTTCATAGTGGGTGGCTGTATCAGATTGAATTTAGGCATTGCGCCACCAGCATAGATGTAGCAGTGAGCTCTCAGTTACCTGCATGTAGCTGGGCTCTGTCACTTGCACAACAGCAGCCTTAGCAGCATTAGGGTACTATTCCATTGCAGTGATTTTGTGTGAACACATAGCATTTCAGGGGCAGACATTGTAGGTTTGCACACTAGAAATGACCTTTCAAAGCCTTGCCTCCTTTTGGCCTTAAAATCCCATACTTAAGCTATCCTGATCTGCCAGGTCTCAGTTAGAAACATAACATTTATGGCTGCATTACCAACCATTGAAAAGCAGTCTGGTCTATTCGACTGTAAACTAACCTGACCCTGACCCCCTCCCATTGGAACGGAGCCATCATCTCAGAGTGACCTCTGTGGGCCTCAGAATAGTCATTTTACATCCTTATTAAAAATACTTTATGGCAGTGACTCCGGACACTAGGTTATCACTTATGTAAGCTGCTCTTTTTTTTTTTTTTTTTTTTTTTTTTTTTTTCCCATACTTAGGTGCATTGATACCATTCCAGCTTTCATTTTGTCTTTACAGTCCTTTATTTTTTCTTCAGATATTCCATTGTTATTACTCTATTTAATATTTTCTTTTTTCATCCATATTCAACCTAATGCAAACTGGATTCCAGTCAACAAATCCTCATCAATTTTCACTTCTTTAAAGGCCAGGCAACCAAAATTACTTTTGAATCAAAATCCTATGAGGACTTTTCCAGTTGCTTCACACTTAGTCTTTTCTTCTCTTTTATTTTTTTGGAAATACTCTGCTCTGGCCAAGTATGTGTTTACCCTGGGTTTGTGACTTTTAAACTTCATCCAAATGCCTGTAAAGAAAAATGTCAAAGAAAAGCCTCGCGCTTTTGCATCTGAAATGTAGAAAGAGTGCAGATGAAGAGATTTCTTTCTTTGCTGTTGTTAACATTTCTTCATATTTTTTTTCCTAAACTGGAAAAAATATATTAATTTATATTAATCATCATCTTTTCTTTTTTCTTCTTAATTTTTAATGACAAAGCGTCTGTTCTCCTCTCTCAAGCCCCACACTTTTTTTTTTTTTTTTTGTGGCTATGAGGGAAAGCAAAATTATCCAGTGTTCAGAATGCTGGACCAAAGTTCTCACACTTGTCTTTTGACTTTGCTACAATCTGACTGTATAATATTGACCTTTTGATTCAGTGATGTGATTTTTCCTGTAGTATGGAATATGATATGAAATAATCGATGTCTATCACACAGTCATGCTGTGAGACTTGTTTAGTAGTTACTGAATACTTTTGAGAGACTTGGCTAAAAGTCGTTCAACAGTAAAATGTGCTATTAAAACAAATTGTTCATATTAATGGTAAACCGTGCCTGCACATCAGGAGAGGAGAACTGACCCTCAAATTTTAACCTTGGCAATTCTTTCAATAAGGCTCTGGACTAGATTTGTAAAGGTTTTAAGCATCATTCTAATCAATATTTCAAGACGGAGGGAATGTATGATTTGGAGACTGATTTGTTTTCATTTCAGAAAGAAAGAGATCTAAAACTCTAATTTCCCAACACCTGCTGGCTTAAAATATGCAAAGAAATGCTGAAATGCCTTTAAACCATCTGGTCCAGTATTAGCTACTAAGCATTTTATTCTTTTAGAATACAGTGTGTTTCTAAATTCAGCTGCCTTGTCGAACTGGGTATCTTTTTCTCTGACTGATTTTGGCATGTTTCCTTCTTTGTTATTTGCGGCTGCTGCCTGCATAGGACCTGCTAACTAACCCCTCCTCCTGCAAGCAGGTGAGTATCACTGTCTGCCTCCTGGTCCCCTCGCAGTGTGTGGAGGATGAATCCCTTCCCATGCCATGCTGTGCTGTGGGCGCATCTCATGCCAGTCTTTCATATGTCCATCCATGTCTGCTTTTTGGGTGGGGAAGGCGGTAAAAAATGATTTTTTTAGTTGTATTAGCTCTGGTAATTGTATTAGTTCTGTGATAGGAAGGAGCAGTTCTTGTTCTTCCAATTAGCTGTTTGTCTCTAGTTTCTGCTGGTGTCTTTGTAGTCCACTTTTGATGATCCTAAGCAAAAAGACCAAAAAGTGGATGTGGACTCTTCCTTAACTATAGTAACAGTCTCTCTGTTGGGCTGTAGGGCACTCTTCCCATCTGTGATACTTCTACTTCAGACAGGATTGAAATCTCCAGATTTGTTCACTAGCCAGAAACTTCCCGATAAAGAAAAACTTTCTTTTTGTAAAAGGTTGGGAAGAAGGCTTTGTGTCAGTTAAAAAGTATAAGGGTTAGACTGGAGGGAAGTCTACTTCATTCAGGACTGTCAAAACCCTTAGAAAACTCAGTGAAAGACAGAGATGGTGTTTGAATGAAGCAAAGAGAACAGACTGCCTATGTGTCTTCAAACTGGCAGCCTCCCACTTTATTCATCATGGCAGACACTTTTGGGAAGAGCAAGGCTCTCGATAGGTTCAGGTGTCAACACAAGCAACCCTGGTGAATTTGGAAAATATGGAAAATAGCAGTCCTCACCATGACCGCTCAGGGAACTGTGATTGGAATGTCTGGTCAGAACCTCTGTCACTGGGGAAAGCTATGTGGCCCTGGGCCATTTACTGGTTTTCATCATGACAAGGCAGACCATGAAACAGGTCTGTGTAGTAGAAATAGTTCCCTAAAGTATTGATAATTACTGAAACCTAGTGTGCTACAGCGGTACCAGATTATATGTTTTGCAGATCACCAAGACCAAACTATGTTTGGAGCAGAACTGCAATCTATGGAACATGTTCCACATCTTTGGTCATACCAACAAAGATGTTTTTTTTAATGATTTTTGAATTTGTAATTAATATCTCAAATCTTCTCTTTGAAGAACAAAACAAAAGGTTGTCCCACATGAAAAGTTAATAAAAATATGGAGTAGGACTTAAGGACTTTGTCTGCTAGGCTGAAAGCAGGTCCAACTATTCTTAATTTGTCTGCTTGGCCTAGCTGACAGAAACTGATCACTATCCCCTCACTCCTTTTCTTCTACGTTTAAGATAGTTCATATACAATCTGTCTTCCTTCAACTAAACTTGCAGTCACCCGAGGCCTCATCTGCTTTTGCTTACATGCAACCCGACGTATCTATAAAAATCTCTCTCCTCATTATGAGTAAAAGAGAATATATTTTTAGATTGGACTGGCCCAGTTATGACGAAGGAGTGGCTGTCTGAATAGTTCAAGTATTCATCTGTATTGAAGTTTGAGGGTTAGGATTGCTGCGTGTCTTTAGGAAGATCACCTGAAGACAAACCCAGAGCACAGTGAACACCTCGAACAATTGTGGGGTTTTGTTTGTTTGTTTGTTTTTACTGCGGGGTAGGTACTGGTAATGTTTGCCAGGTGTGCTTGTCTGCAAGTGTTAGCTAGTGAGCTGCAGGAAAGCTTATAAACCAGAAGCAAAGCACAGACCAATCGAAAACTTTTTTGCCTTTTGATGCTCCATAGCTGCTTATCTTCCTGTTCCTCTTCCATCCTCCTGACAAATTGAGGAAACTCTGGAAAACTTTGTCATCTCTGCACGTCAGATATGATGTCCTGGGAGTGCACTGCTTTCCATCTTTGTTAGTCGTTAGTTACAATCTCTAACTCATAAACTTGCCAAATGCCCCTTTATTCCTGCCATGACCCTCCACCCTGGAAGCTCTCTTTGATGTAACCAGTAGCATTACGATCTTTTTCTATCGAAAAAAAAAAAAAGATATGTTCTGAGTACCTCCAGCATTACTGTAGTGTATGTGTGTGTATGTGTCTGCAGCTGGTACACTATACTTGTTTATAAATGATACTCGATTTTGGTGGTGGGTCACTGCAGCACATTTGTGCATGGCTGTATAAATCCTTTGTATATCCAGGAACAACATAGGCTCATGTAGGGGGAATATACCCAGAAATTAAATTATAAACAGCAGGATGAATCTCTGTGACTTACTTTTAACTGTCAAATATATTGGTGTCAAAATCTTTTAAAGTGAATGAATCAGGAGAGTAGTAAACCCTTCAAAAACTTCAGATTAGCAATTAATAAGTTAAATCAGAGGCTGATGTGCGTAAGCCCTGAGCTGCAGAGCTTTTGGTGCTGAAAGTGAATTCTGGAAGTGCCACTGTATGCTGTGGTATATTGTGTATGTCTTATTGTATGTCTTACTCCATTTCCATTGGCTGCTCTTAGAGACAGGATACTGGGATAGATAGACCCTCTGGTCCATCTTGCTTGCTCTTAGGTCCCAAGAAAGAAGTCACATTGTTTATTTGATGGATGCATTCAAAACTAGATTATATTGATTATGCCAAAATCTCTAGGTATGACAATATGCATATGATGGAAAGACATTTTGAAGTGGTTCCAGCAGCAACTACTTGGGAAAATACTGTCCTGTTACCAGTAGAGAAATGGGAGATGGAAATAGAGATCTATTTTCCAGGATTATCACTTTGTGTCATCATGCTTTAGGGAATGGTTGAAAGACACTCAAAGTACATACAGAAAGCCAATCTCTGGAAGCGCAACAAGTCCTATGACTCTGGTGTGTAGGCAGGACAGGGAGACAGAAGCTCCTGGACGGTGCAAGTAGATCTGCAGTTAGTTTCTGTCTATGTGCTGAATTCTTCTTTCTAGAGTTTTTCCAGGTGATGAATTTGACAGAAGGAACTTACAGACCCCTTTGAAAAAGAATTACTTCTCTCTGATTAATGGTAATAATTTGCTTTTAAAAGGGGAGGCTAGCTCAGAGGTAGCTTACTAAATGGTCACATCTACATGTGGTCGGATGAATGCCATCTTGCCCTACTATTTACGTCTTTCATATGATGTGGATTGGACTGGTCCATGTACCAGTAACAGCCTTAGAAGGTGGTGGAAGGCTTTTTTCTTGCTGGTCTTCAACCTTTCAAAAATGCCATGTAACCTCTGTAGGCGGCATCTTCTAAGCAATGTCCTGTGACATCAGCGGGCTCTACCATAACGTGTTCAGGTTTCCTGTCATGCCATTTTACACTCATATAAGTGCTAGTGAAGTGAGTCCAATAAATCAGAATCAGAGCTAGTATTTGCAAACCAAGATGATCTTACAGGAGATAATGAATGGCTTTGGTTTGTCTAGTAATACAGGATCTGCGTGTGTGTTTTCTGTCTTCCTTGTGTTCTATTCCTGCCATGTGGGTGGATTTTCCTATAAAGTCGGGATGGCTTTTTTTTGTCCATTGCACACAGTATATTGGTGTTGGGTGAGTAGACAAGGAAAAACATGATACTGATTGTTTTCCCCCCACTTTTGAATTATATGCAGAAAGAGATGGGTTCAACAGAAGACCTTTACCTCTCCACACGAAAGGTGAAAGAGCTCTCTGTGATTGATGGCCGGAGGGCCCAGAATTGTGTCATTCTCCTTTCCAAGTAAGTGTGCAAAGCCTTAGCTCACAGTGTATGCTGTGGTTAATGTAAAGGCAAGACTTAAACATATGAACATGTTCATTTTCTCACCTAGATCTACTGGTAACACCTGTGCAGAGATTCAGAGATACCTCTCTTGCTGTATCATAAAAGCACCTACCTCTGTGAAGTGTTAGCTCAGTCAGTACACACACATTTTGTACATTAAAAACATAGACATAAAAGCTAGGAAGCATTTGAAGACTTTCATGATCAAAAACCAATCAGCACTTGTAGGCAGATGAAAGCAGCTAGTCGGCAGTGCTGCCACTTCCTTCTAAGTGATGTGTTTCCCTATGCTCTATGTGTGTCACATGGCTCTGTTCTGTCTGTTTTTCTAAATGTTCCTCTGAGTATCTCCCTAAGATGCATCATTGCTGAAAGTGGAGTTGATCTTTGACATTTCTGGCTGTGGTAAATGTTAGAGATACTCAAGAATTACATCTCATCTTTATAAGTTTTGAAAGCCAGAAGATACCTTTGCATGCTCCTGCTTATGTCTTCCAACGCTGTGACATCAGGGTCCTCCGCATGATTTTCATGCCTTTCTACCAAGATGAGGGCTGTGCTGGATGCGTGTCACAGGACAGCAGATCTGCCCAGATACTAATCTGCTAGGTCTGCCATCTGCACTGGCCTTTCCTGGCAGGGGAAAGCCAACAGCGGGGCTGGAGAGAAGCCCTGGGAAAGTTGTGGCAGTGCTGAGCAAGAAAACTGTTTCATTGATCAGCAGAAAATGCAGGCTCATATGGGTATGATTGCTTGTGTGCCCTAGCAAGCTAATGGTTAAAAGCAAAGCTGCAGCCAGACCACCGGGACTGGAATGAGTTCTTTCCATTGCTTAGTGAAACCCATGGAGGCTCTCATTATGCTACTTATGTGGCATTAGCCTGAATGTCAACAGGACCCCCTGCCCCATCTAAACCAGCTATAGGGGAAGGTTTACATTTCTGTCTCTGCAGTAGTTGCCTATTGCGTGTCTTTGCTGGTGTTGGCAGCTGACTGCAGCCTGGGGCACAGGGAGGGGGGAGGTAGAGGGGCAACAGGATTTTCATGCTGTTTGACAGACCTGCTGAAGTGTGTCTGAGGTTCAGATTAACTCGTGTAAGCACATGGAACATTTCCTAGAGTGACATTGTAATGTGTGTGGGTGGTTGGGCTGAGGAGGATCCAGGGAGATGGCCCATGTTTTGGGATGATACTAAATGTTTCTTTTTAGACATTTTAGATCACCAAAACAAGAGCAGTGTGGGCAGCAGCAGTGCATGTCTTTCTGCTGTTCACCTCTTCTGCCTCGCAAGTCTGTCTTACCCTTAATTGACAGGAATCCTCTCTCAAACGTGAAAGGGAAAGTCTCTGTACTTTATCTTCCCTTCTGCTGTCCTTAGCAAAGTGGCCTTGAAGCATAAATCTTGCACTACAGGGTATACAGGATGAGCTGGCTGCAGGTGTGCTGCCAAGCCAGCCCACCTCGACTTGCTAGTCAGGACCAGAGATGAAACCAGAGATGAAAAAATGTTTTATGACTGTCAGCTACTCTAGTGAGAGATATCCCAATCTTATTGTTAGCAGACCTAGCATGAATGATGAATGCTTTTGGAGACTGAGCTCACTGTCCCTAAGGAGCACACAGGTTTGTATGGTGCCTTGTTAACTTTACTGTGCTATGCTATGGGAAGGGCCTGTCACAAGGCCTGTCACTGTCTTAGATCATTAACATTTGGATTGAACAGCATTAAGGCCCAGGATGTCAGGAAAATCTTACATCTTCACCTAGGATTGATACTCCTCCCCAGACCTGTACCTGCAGGTCACTATGGGAGCAAAACTCTTTGGGAACTAAAATGGCACCTCTACATTCATACCTTTTTCTGATCTTTGTTTTTATAGTTCTATCATTAAAGCTACCAACTGGGGAATTGGCTGCAGATGATAATCGAAAGGATTTTATGACCTCTTTGCAGTTTTTTTCATAACTCTGCTTCTTCCTCCTTTACATTTGTTTTCCTTTCCTGAGGAGGAGAGACTCCCAGCCAAGTGATCCCTGGCTGCTGCCATGCCCCTGCTGCTCCTAGAGTGCACCTTACACATGTATGCGTGTGGGTGTGCACACACATGCAGTGAGAAGAGATTTAAAAATGGTGACAAACAAAGAGAATTTGTACAACCCTGAGCTGCAGCCCCGTCTTTCAGGTTGCCCCGATCTGCCAACAGCTGTTTCCAATTGACTCTTACTGTGCTTATATCCCTGTAGTTTATTCCCCCTTTGTTTACACTAAACTGTCGTGTCCTTTAAAGTAAAATAGCTGCATGGGTTGGGTTTTCTTTCCCTCCACTACTCAAATGTTTTTGTTTTACTAACACTGTGTTAGAAGGGGTCAGGCAGAGCTCATATTTCATATGGTCCAACAAGCCAAAACCTAGCTAGAGTAAGAAATAGATGTTTTTCCTCTTTCACAGAGAGAATAGAGCAGGGTGAACTGAAAAGGGATGAAAATTGAATTGTTAGATGATTTTTGCTGACATTTAAAAGATTTCTAAGCCTTCCTCCCTATTCTCCTCTCTATTTTCATAAAAGCTCTCTTTCAGCTACTTGATAGCCACATCTCTTAGTTTTCCTGCAGTGGGAGTGTGTAATTGTCCCTGTGTTATGGAGTTTGATGGATCCAGAACGCCACTTTGTCCCATAGCCCAACTGTAAAAGGTTCAAGTGGGCTTTAGATCAGTTTATCTCACAGTATTTCCAGCAGGCCATATTTCAATGAGGACATGGAACCATCTGTCTGTGGTCAGTCCATACTTCCACCAGTCTTGAGTTTGGCTTTCTTAATGGTGTTTCCAACATGCACTTATTTTTGTCACATCGGAAAATTACAATCCCTCATGATTTTCCTGATGTCTTCGGTTTCCAGCAGACTAGAGATTTATTGTCCAACTTATGTGGTCTGGAAGAGCCTTTCCAGATCCATGTGCTTCCCTGCCTTCACCTCTCAGCTGGAAGTTTCTCTGATCTCTCTCACCAATATGGCTTGTATCTTGGTCCATTACTTAAGTAATGAGTAGTATTTTTGTTGTACCATTTGTTTACACTAGCTTATGCCCAAGACGTACTTCTTGTAGTCTTGCTCTGAGAATTGCTCTGGAGAGGTTATGTCACTAAGGAGAAGGCTGAACTGAGTGAGACTTTCTTGAGCAAGTTTCTTTGTTAAGATCCTGGCAAAATCATTATAATGTTAGAGTTGTTCTGAGATGTGTTTGCTACTGCTGTGGCCCAGCTGGTCAGCTGTAACCCTCTCAAGACCTGGAAAGTGAGTACTGGCAAAATGTCATAAATACATACCTCTAGCAAAAGGTAGAAACTGACTGCACAAAAAGAGTTTTAAATATGAACATGACTGTAGTTAGACATTGAGAATCAGGGTTAGCAGGCATCTTTATCAATGTTTGTAACTTTGGGCATCTGTCAGTAAGGAAAAAGGGAGTAGTGCAGCATTTTCAAATAGATGCTAAAGCACATTTTCTCACATAACTCTGCCTCCTTGGTGCTTCCACACTGTTTCAGTCCAGACATTTAGGGTACAAGCTACACAGCCAGTACCAGTCTCTCTGTGCTTCTGTTTGCTCCCTCTCTAAATTACGGCTCTTTATCGTGCTCTGAATAGCAGTTAGAGAGTTTATAAACCCCAAGTTTAAATTGAACATATTAGCCAGTGGCATCCTGTCTTAGATCAGAACTGGCCAAGCCCCGTCTGCAATACAGGACAAACCACCATCTCATCAGCTTGGAGCTGTAGTTTGTGGGGTCCCAAAATTGTTTCTGTTTTGCTCTGCTTGCTTTAGGAAGTTAGACATTCTCAGGTTCTCCTTAATAGAGTTTGAGCATTTGAATGCAGAGTAGCTTGATGACTTGCAAATTGTCTCTAAAGAAGTAAAAGAAAGGAAAAACTTGTTTCTTTGTGCTTTTAGCATAATACTTTCATAATGAAGTGCTGAAAAGGCACTGGTGGGTTTTTTTTTTTTTGCCCAGTATGTTGATATACTGGGTCAAGACATACCTGGGAAAATGTTCCAGCTCTTTTCCACTGACAAGATAAGCAGCTGAGATAAGAGGATATGAAGAGAGTGGCTATATTTTTGTCTTTGACATTCTTGAACACTTTTGAGAGTCAAGAGTTTCCTGCCTTTATGGGGCAGCAACAGTGCATATTCCTAAATTGTAGTTATTTAATGTCTGCTTGCAGCTTGGCAGTTGTTGTACAGAACTTTAGGAGAGCTCAGGAATTAGAGGAGGTTTATGTCCAGTCGCTGAGTATGAGAGTGAGTTGGCTAGGGGCCTGTGAAGATGGAGAAATCTGCAGTCAATAAAAGCTAAGATGTGAATGAGCCTATGGAAACTGGCCTTGGGGTGAAGCTGAGTGTGGATGAGAAGTGTGTGCACGTGCACGCATGCGTGGGGGTGTGTGGGCACGCACATATGTGAGGGAAGGGAGAAGACTATTTCCTTGATGCTCTTTCTCCAAACAGTCAATGTCTCACACTGCCGTAGTTTCTACTTGTAGCATCTTTTGGAAATGGTTAAGTTCAGTTTGAATAGGAAAGTGGTCTTGATGAATGATAATCAGTTCCCTTCTCTAAAGTAAAAGGGAGAAGGGGAATCTGATCCCTTTGGTTAGAGAGATTAATGTAGCTATGATTGCATTCAGGGTTCTCTGGTAGCATGCAGCCACTCTTCCTTCTCGAAAGCTAAGCAAGATCCAGGGAACAAGTCCATGAAGTGACTCACTTTTTCTGTTACGGAAGGAGATGGTTAAAGAGTGATGAGTTTTCTGGGTTGATCCATGGGAGGGGGGGAGTAAAGGGGGAAGGTTGCTACAACTTAAATCAATGGCTATCTTTAAGGAGAAAAACTGAGTGAGTGCTGGGTGTCTGTAAAGGAAGTTAATGCAAAACTGCAACATGTCTTCCAGACATTTTTAGAGTCAGGCTGCTCTCTTCCTCCCTCCAAGAGGATGAACCAATCAAGCAGTTGATGTCTACGAGGGAAGCTGATGTTAAATCAGCCGAGGTGTCCTGCGGAGATTAGTGATGAATTACTCTGCAGAGTCAATAGAGATTATTTATGAAGCCAGAGGGGATAGGGGAAGGCAGGCTAAGTACCCTATCAGAAATTATTTGGTAGTTGATGAGCTTCAACATTGCTCAAAGGTGACTCAAGGAGTTGGGCTTCTGTAGACTGCCAATAGATGTATGGGTAAGGGGAGAAGGAGGGAGTATTTTCAGTAAGATTTTTTTTTTTTTTTTTCCCCCCCACATGTGACCAGTGTCAGGCTACTTCTGCAAAAAAGCTCCACTGTCAATATCTGTGCTATGAATGAATGTGCTGCAGCTGAGGAAAGGGCACTGTGTCTGGTCACATTTACTTCTTGAGTTCTGATGCCATAGGACCCGTAATTTTGAGAAGTATGAAGCAGAGAGTACAGCTTGAATGTGCCTGGATCTACAAAGCTTGTAAGAAAGTCAATGCAGACTTTCTAGTAGATACTGAGATTAAACTTCTGTAGTGTCAGTTTTGGGGCCATAATTCCACGTGATTTTGCTGTCTCTCTCTGGGAGATGCCTCTATTCAGTTCTAAACGGAAAGATTTTACCCATCTGCTTTAGCTTCTTCTTTAATCAGTTCACCTGTTTCTGTTTAAAAATAGCACATCTGTTTCACATTACCCCTGGCCATCTTTAAAATCTTTTGCATGCTGGGCATGAGTTTTGAAAGCACAATAAAAATCACTTGATTAATAATTCTTTGGCCATCCCTTCAGCCAGTTTTTAACTAGGAAGATCCCTGTTTTGCACTGTTGATGCTTACAGCTCGTGAAACACATCCTGCCCCAGTTGAGGAACAAACTTGCTTTAGAGGAGTGAGCTTGATTTGCTGTAAATCATTCTGTACTCAGAATTGAGTGGGTAAGAGTCTAGGATGCATACCTGCAGGCACCATGACCCCATTACAGGCCTGTAAGTGACTGAGTAAAACTGCTTCTCTGTGGGGGGCTGGCAAGTTTTGTGTTTCTCTCTTCTGTGGGCTGAGCCATTCCAGACAGATGTTTTTCAGCTGATGGCAGGGCACAGACTCATCCAAGAAATCAAAATGTTTGTATAACTATCTGTCCTCTGGACTCTCAATTATTTTTGAACAGAATATGTTTCCCAGTGTGTTTAGCGCTGATGAATTACGCCAACCAGAGGGCTTTGGCAGGCTGAAGTCCTAGGGCTCCTGGAGAGATTAGCGACATCAGCAGCCATGTGAGCTACCCCTTCTGTCCTGCTGACATGCCCCACATTTGTCTGTCTGGTTCTGCTCGATCCCCAACACACACAGAGCAGCTTGCACTGTCTGAGGGGGCGGTCAGTATAACGGTTGCTTGAATCGTATGTATGGAAAAACATGACGTGCAACCTAGTATTTTTATCTTCAATGAAGGCAGCAGAAAAAACCCACTCTGGTGTTCATGGGTTGGCTCGTTGTGTCTCCGCTAACAGACTATAGCTCCTTTGTCACTATACATATTTCTTATGTGGAGGCTGGGTTTGGGAAAATGTAAAGGTAATTATAATGATAATGTAAAGGGAATTAAAAAGCCCTAACAGTTGCAAAAGTGCAGGCACCAAATTGTCTGGGCATCTGTATGTGTGTCTGCTAGAAGCCAGGCCCACACCCACCAAAATGTTCCGTAGTTATCATGTGGTAACAAGGTTTTATCAGTTCCAGGTCACACAACCATGGTGTTGACCGTTCATGCTTATTAACAGTAGAAGTGAGGCTGTAGAGCTCTGTGCAGAAGCCCATGAACTGAGTTTTGCTGTATTGAGCTTGAATCAAACTGATGACCTAAAGTAAAAGATTTCCAGTTTTGCATTACAAAACTTTTAATCTTTCCATCTCCCTCAAACATGGCTTATTATGTAGCTTTTCTGGAAGTTAAGTAGTCTTATCTCAACTGGTATCAGTCAGCCCTCCTTGTCAAAAGCAGACAAGATGACAAACTAGCAGCAGAGTGACTGCAATTAGTTAAAAGGTGTAATATCTAAAAGCTTTTGAATGTCTGCTGATTCATACTTTAGTTTCCAGCTGTTAGCTATATTGGGCAATATTAGAATGTTTTAAGTTTCTCAGATTTAGTAATATTTCCTGTCTGTAAAAATAAAGCTCTTACTTTTGCTTTTACCTAGTTCCAAAAATGTGATTCTATCCAAATGGCAATCGCAATGTGAAATTTCAACATGGAATTTCTTAGCACCGAAGGCAAAAACTTTCTGGCTCATGCATCAGCCTGCCTCTCATTCGTATTTGCATTTTCCCTTTCTGCTGTTAATTAATTATATTGATTGTAGAAGGTCCATGGAGACTGAAGACTTCACTCTGCAAATATTTCTTTTTGTACTTCTCTGCTTCAGTCCCCAAATTAAGATTTTCTTGTGGATGGCCCTTTCCTTATGGTTCATTCAGTCCTCCACTCCTCTGCGAGCATGATTAATGAGGGTGTCATGGGTTGAGGAGGGTGAGGGTGGACTTTGTCCCTTACATATTTATTCACCGACACCTGCACTGAGAACCAGCAAGTTTGTTTCAGCTAATCTATCAAACAGCCACTTTATGATAAGAAATTTTTATTGCTTCTGGTTTATCCTGGGTTTCTAGTGGTGACCTCATTTTTTGTCATTGATTTCCTGTTTTATAATAACTGATTACTCCCACTCATTGCATATTGCCATGGAACGCACACAGAGAGAAGCAAGAGTAGGTGGGAAGGAATGTATAATTTTAATAGCTCTGATAATATTAGTAAGTATTTATTTTCAGTGGGTGGCAGGACTAAGACATAATATGAAGCAAGCCATTTGCTTCTTGGATATGTCCATGCTCTCAGTTCCTTGTTCAGCTGTGAGTGCTGGCGGAATGAATTTACCAAGAACAGCCAGTCTTTTTAAAAAACCTCTTTTCTCAGATCCCAGATGGAAGGATCAGTGCTATTGCTTGTTATCATTGGAGATCCTGTAATATTCACAAGCAGAGGTATAAATTGTGCCCACAGTCACTCAAAAGCCATGTAGATTTGAGGGGTTCACCCAGTAGTAAAAGCATTTCAGGAGGAAGGTATGTAATCCAAGGGAAGTTGAGCCATCTATCACTTTTGTTCTGTGATGAGCTGATCACTATTAAACACCATCTAGTTGTAGAAATGTGCTTGATTAGTTGAAGGAAATAAAAATTATGATCTAGAAAATCTCTGCGTTGGAACTGATTAGATCATCTTGGTGAGTACTCTAGAATAGCAGCATCATAGTGGAGTTTCCTGTGGTTCTTTCACATCTATTTTTTTAGTAGAGCTTTTTAGGTCTTCTATTGTCTGAATTATCAGAGTCACTTAATCATTGTACTAATGGACCAATATTGATACTATTGAAAGGCTGAAGCTGTCTAATGAAGAAATCAGACAGGCAATCTTGAAGATGGATGAACAAGAAGACCTGGCCAAAGACATGCTTGAACAGGTAAGAACCAATGCAGTCAGCTATACCTTATAAATATTTTTCTATCAAAAGCTGGTGGATATCTGTACCTTCTGTGCCAGTACGTCTGCAGATCTGAACATGGCTCTGTCACATCAGTGGAGCTGTGCAGTAAACCATGAGAAAAATCTTTGTCCCTCTGTGTCACCTCCCTCATATAAGTCTGTATCTGGTTGAATTTGATCCATTGGTCTTTTGGATTTCATAATAGTGTTCCTTTCCTAATGCAAAATATGCATGATTACAATTGGTACATTTTTTTTTCTTTTATGTCCTTTCTCTTTGTAACTGTCCCATAACTTTCCCATCTCTCTTTTATAATGCTGGTGGGTTTTTTTGTTTGTTTTTTTTGTTTTAAATCTTTGCTCTCCCCATCTAGGTCTTTCATTGGGAAATGTCATGTACCAAGCAATGTGGGTCAGTGATTCTGACTAGAGTAGGAACTATATTGGGACTTTCATTCTAGCTAGATTGGTTAGAATGGGTGTCAAGAGAACTGATTTCTGCAGTTATTTTACTGTGTAGATGGAGGAGGAGGAAGCAATTAAATCAGTATCATCCATTTTCCTGCATTTATTAGAGGGTAAAAGGTGATACTTTTACCAAAGATACATATGCTAAAATTCCTTAGAAATAGGCAGAAGAGTTATAATTCTGAACTCCCTGACAAATTTGATTAATTTTGTATATGCAGTCATACTATTAAGCATGTACAGAAGCTTTTTCATTTTGGAAATATATGGCCCACTTGTCACATTAGCTGAATGCCTATCATTGCTCCAGAAGTCACTGAAAGTGTCTGATATTCCACGCCCTTGAATATTACATTTTTGAGGTGTAGGATAAAATACTGAAGTAGTGGTAAAAAGCAGACCAAGAGGTTGGTATGCCTTGCAGGCAGCTTTCTTCTTGTGGGTGTGGGCTGAGGCTCTATGCATGGCAATATTCATAACCAAACTGAAGGACAACTACCACCAGATATGTCAAAAATCTGTCAAAGTATGAGCTTTTAAGGTCAGCGCATGAATAGCAGCCAGTGTCAGACTCGTATCCAGTGGCTTGGTTATTGTTTATTGTTTCTGCAGAGTAGGACAGACCCAAGAGAGATAGATGAGGCTTTGTGCGCACCCCAGGATAGGCACGATGGGCACTGTACCCTGGCTGGGACACATCCCACTCTTATTTGCACCAGTCTGAACTCCAAGTAATGCTGTGGCAGTGCAAGTCCTTTCTGTACTTCCCCTTGGCTTAAGTTGGAGTAGCTTTTAGAACTTAGGAATTGGAAATTCCCCTTTGGAATTAAAATGTATCTAATGGGATCACTGAGAGGGAATAAAGACAGAACAACAAGGAAAGGTTTAAACAAGGTCAGTTTTGTAGCCACAGCTGCATTTCTTTGAAGTCGTAGTCATGTGGCTGAATCAAAGCAATGGTAGCATGGAAATCTGAGGGCCCTCTCCTCCCCGTCCCACTATCGTTCTTCCCTCCCTCTCTGTCTCTCCTACGCACTTTGTTTGTCCCTCTCTTTCCTGCTCTTCCTTTCCCTTGGTCTCTCATGGAGGTTTTTGGTTTGTGTTTGCCATTCTAGCTACTAAAATTTGTTCCTGAAAAGAGCGATACCGACCTGTTGGAGGAGCATAAACACGAAATCGAGCGCATGGCCCGGGCGGATCGTTTCCTCTTTGAAATGAGCAGGTCTGTTTCAAACATTATGGGAAAATGTAGTGGGGGCCTTTTGGAAGCGGCTGCAGTTATTGAAAATGGATCATCTGGCCCTAAAGGGAAATGTGTGAGGGATTGTGGGCCAGTATTATATCCATCTGTCAAAAGCCCATGATGTTACAAATGTTTCAGTTCATTATACAAATTTTCTTGGTGATAAGCACTATCCCTGCTGTCATTTAGGGACAGTCCCTTATTGACAAGCAGACATCTGCCTCCTTTCTTCAGCTTTGTTCTCACAAAAAGGATTTTAGCTCCAACTATCAGGTGTAGAGTAGCTGGGGCTTGGAATCTTGTATAGATCGCTTTTTCCATCCAGCTGTCCCATCTCTTCATCATCTGACCTTTTTCCTTTTTCCACCCTTGTTACAGCTCCTGATTGATCAGTACTTAACACCATGTTCTACAGGTTGAGGTGCATTCTCCTCAGCTGGTATCTCCCATGAATCATATATTTTGAGAATAACAGGAGTTGTTTCAACCACTCTTCAGTTGTGTTCAAAACGTATTTGAAGTCTCTTCATTTTCATAACAATGTTGATTAAGAAGCATTAGGTGTTGGAACTATGTCTGTAACACCATGCACTGGTATTGCGGGACTTAGCATCTAACAGTTAGATTGTGTAGGCATCATGCTGACCCTGTACCTCAAAAGATGATTCAAGTTCAGTTTTTGCTTTCTTTTCCCTTGTGTGTAGGATCGACCACTATCAGCAGCGACTGCAAGCATTATTCTTTAAGAAGAAGTTTCCTGAGAGGTTGGCAGAAGCAAAGCCGAAAGTAGAAGGTATGGTTGAAGCCTGTGCTAGGAGCTCTAAAAAGGGGAAAGACATGTCAGAAGAGCCTTATCTTCAAAGAAAATGCCATTACAGCATGCGCTGTTCATAGAGCCAGTGAGTCCAAGGCATGTCATATGCTGGGAAACAAATTCTGTCTGACACTCTTGTTTCACCTGCTGGCTTAATAAAGTGAATGTCATGGATGTTAACACTGTAAATGTGACCTGACAGATGTGACAGTGTGCTACCTGATAGTGCTAAGCTGCCAAAAACTTTTACGGTCTTCTCTGCAGATCAGACATCCCTTCTCACTCTCATTCCTTGCACCTTCCTTTCCCTTGAGGCAGATAAGACAGATGCCTGAGGAGAGTGGTATTTTGTGGATGTGTCACAAGGAAGGAGGCATGATTTTCTGCAGCATTCTTGCTTGTTGCAGAAAGGTTGTTGCATGGAAAGAAGTCCATGTGTTTTGCTCTGCATTTTCAGATGAGCTCAAGCCTTCCCCTGTTCCTACTAGCTATGTTTTAGCGTGGGAGATCTAGGAGAACAGCCCAGCTCCTGGGTTCAGAAGAACATCCTACATGTTAAATGCAGTGTGCCTTCTTTCCTTTCATGTGATTCAGTGTGTTTGGATGGTGGGAGAACAGTGCTTGGACAGTTCAAACTGGAGCATGTGCTGGCTGGCAGGAGCGCCGTTTAGAGTGTTTTCAAATCATGGGCCCACGTACATTCAGAAAGACCACTGTGCAGTAACTTGTCCATTTTTAATCTTTCCAAGCCATCCTTCTGGCATCCAAAGAACTCATCCGCAGCAAGCGCTTGAAGCAACTCCTGGAGGTTGTTCTGGCCTTTGGCAATTATATGAACAAGGGCCAAAGGGGAAGTGCATATGGATTCAAAGTCTCGAGCCTGAACAAAATTGCAGACACCAAATCCAGCATAGACAGGTAGGTTGGAATACCCTAAATAAATAAGTTACTGTGCTGCTTTCCTTATCATGGCGATGATTTTTTTTTCTTTTTTTTTTTTTTAACTGGAGACCATTGGCATTTAAGTCCCGAAACGGTTAAGACCAGCTATTAGCACAGCACGCAAATTCTGCCATTTCTTTGGATAATGCACATCTGTTGTTGGCTTGTTTTTCTGCAACACTGTACAAAGATGACATAATGTAGTATTTCACAAATAAATGAAATGAGATTTGGGGGTAGGGGGAGGGGAGAATACTTTCTATGGAATTTGCCCTTTATACCAATGTTTTATGGCCATGGTTTTGCAAAAAGTAGAGTACAGAAAACTCAGACCACACTTACACATCTCCTTTAAAAACATGGCATATATTTCTCATGCAGAAGAGTCATAAACTAGCAATATGTAACTGATATTTGACCACAACGGTCAGGACTCAGCGAGGCTGGGCTTGGTTGTTTCTAGGGCAATTAAGAAAAATAACTGTTGTTGGGATATGGTCTTGCAATTTATCAACGTGAGCTGTAACCATTTGTAGCGTTACATTGTGTGTTTTGCCCTGTGTCACTGTGCTGGTTCTGGAAATGGATCTATTTGTAACTGGAGAGAGAATCTCACCTTTGGGCTCCAACAGCACTACAGTTTTTCCCTTGGAGATCTCCAGTGCTGGTTCTTACTAACTCACACCTTCCTTGCCTTGTTCAACCTGCTGAGACCACAGCTGTGATAAACTACTTCAGACTGTAAAAGAAAATGAGTAATGGCAGTAAGAAGCTCTAGGAAATTCATCTCTGCCTAATAGAGTTTGTACTAATAGAGCTCTTTTTTAACTGCCATGATGTCCTTTCCATATTCTGAAGCTAATCTCTGTATAGCTACTGTCAAACTTTTTTTTGCCTTGACATTGCTTGGCTTGACTCTCCAAATACTAAATGTCCTGCGTGGACTCTTGTGTTTCTCCAGGACTCAACTCCCGGTGTCTGGTCTGTATGAAGCAGTGGTTATCTGCTGTCTTGCGTGTCAGTTAACCACGTAACGCCTACCTGAAGCAGCTATTCTGGCTGACTGTTCTCCCCACAAGCAAAATTCACCATTTACTTTAAAAAAAAAATCTTTTAAAGCCTGGTCCTGCATCTCATTTCTTTCTGCTTCTACATGAGCCCCTATTACTTTTGTAGTAGTGGGCTTGAGTGGTCTTTAGGTATAGCTGTGTCACTTTTAATATGGGAATCTTCCGCTGCAGTTTCTTTAGAGTTCAAAAATCTTTTTCTCATTTTCATTAGCTCACGTTCTAGTCCACATGACATCTGAGAGCATCTCCCTTCTCCCTTCAGTGTTAACGACACTTTACTACTATTAGTTGTTTGTTGTCTAAAATGTTTGTGGACAAATTAGTATACTATGATATGCAGTTTTCTGTTACACCAACTATGCAAGCAGAAGGAAGCATGCTGGTGCTTCCCGAATAAAGCAAGGCAGTGTGAAATATTCCTGGAGTTTTTAGGAGAGATGGTTCGTAAAGGGCTAAGTCATTTTAGTCTGCAATACTTTTCTTTCAATGACAGAGCAGCTAACTGCTGATCTACTGTTTGTTTTGTTCACTAAAGCACGTTTCCTACCCAAATATTTTTCATTCCTCCGACCTTCCTTTTCCTTCTCACCACCATCTTCCTTCTCTCATTTCTTCCTTCTTTGTTTTAGGAACATTACACTGCTACACTACTTAATTATGATCTTTGAGAAGAATTACCCAGATATCCTAGATATTCAGTCTGAGTTGCAGCATCTTCCAGAAGCAGCAAAAGTCAAGTAAGTGCAGTGCTATTCCTTGTTACCAGAGCTGACGTTCCCTGTGATTTTTGTTAACTTACTGATTGTTAGTTTTAAATTGCTATGTCCCAAACTCATTGCCAGCCTTCCAGCTGGGGCACCTGAAATGCCTTTGCTGACGTCCTTGAGATGATTCTGATGTACATCAGCAGAAAAATTTGTTCCAAAAACATTTAGGTGACTAAACTGACTGCTTTATTTAGATGCATCCATATCTATTTTACTTCTGAAGCGGATATTGTAACTAGGCTAGTTATTATTTGCAGCTCACTCACCATACTCTGTGGTTGGCCATCTAAGTTGCGTGCTATTTTTTCTGGATAATTGAAGGTTTGTTTGTAAGCCAGGGTCAGTTAGAAACAGAGGCTATAGTAGGCTGTTTTCAAGAAGATCATACAAACTTTTGCACAAATGAGTCGTGCACAGAAATTTGGAAAGCATCATGCTTTGCACAAATTTCAGTGATTTTTTTTTTTCCATTTCCAAAAACATGTGTGGAAAATGAATAAATACATACTTGTCCCCCCCAAATACTATCATTTTTCTTTACAATCCACTGCTCAAAAATATCTTTGCATATTATTTGCGCAGACATTATTCTTTGCACAGGGTACTACTACAGCTAAAAAAAGATAATTAAAAAATAAATACAGGTTCATACCTAAAATCAATTATTAAAGCTCTTATAGTGTTTTCTGAGATATGAATAACTTCCCAAATACTTGGAGGAAATGCCTGCTGACTTGCAAGAGTAACTGGCTACCTAGAAGTAAAAAGCTTTTTTCCTGGGAGTTTTTTAAAAAATGGCTCGTTTATATTATGCAAGCACAAATCCAGAACACCACAAGTCAGGGGAAGCATTTGTTAAAATGCAAAGTGTTAAATGCTTACTGGTGATAGCTTGCAAGGACTGCCATAAGATAGAAATGCAGGGAAAAAATGTTTGAACTGCAACAAAGACAAAAATCACACATAAATGTGCTGCCAATAAGATTCAATAGTTAACTAATGGGTCAAGAGTCACATGTAGAGCTAATCTGAGATTATCTCGATATGCGTGATGAAGCTGGGGTCTCTGCCTGTGGGTCAGCCAATTATTGTAAACTAGCCATGTGGCATATGCTCCTCGCTGGAGGGTCGGGCTCCGTTCCCAGCCCTGCGTGGCTGGGTGTTCTGAGGGTAACCCCATGATTCTGCCCTGGAACATCCCAGGCTTTCCTGTGACCACAGGCAGACATGGTCTGCCTGGTCTTACAGCTCACACAAAAAGCAGCACAGGGTATTAACAGACACTCTTCCCCTCATTTCTCATCATCTGGTATGGCTGGTGCCAGAGGCCGGATACCAGACTTGATGGGCCAATGGTCTTTTCTGCTACAGAGTTCCTGTATTCCTGGGTAACACTGCCCCTTTTGTTTTAACTCCTATGCATCTGTCTCTCATGCAGCCTGGTAGAGCTGGAGAAGGAAGTTAACAATATAAAGACTGGATTGAAAGCTGTTGAAGCTGTAAGTATCTGAAGGTTTCCAAAAGCTCCATGCTAAAATATCTCACTTAGAATATATTCAGCCATTATCTATTCTATGATAAGAGAAAGTGGGCTTTCTTTTCTTCTTTCCATTCTGTTCTACAATGTGTTAGCCAAGAAATAAACAAATACAAGCTTCTCATGGGGCACTTCTGCTGATGATCTTAGCAGACTTCAGCCTAACAAAAAGCTAGTTTGATCTCGACCTGCAGAGTTAAAGGATAGTCTGTCAAATGGTGCATACTGCAAAAAAACGAAATACAATTCATTTTCTTCCTTACTGAGGGATGTCTGGCTGATGAACAAGTGTTTCATATGGCTCTCTGTGTAGTCGTAAACACGTAATACACTATTATACACAACCCTAACCTATCCACAGCATGCCTTGAGGAGATGGAGGCAAAGACTGACTAGCTAAAGGTAAGGCAGCTGAGCTGTCAAACAAAACGGCAATGGCCTTTGTTCCTGATATTGATTTTCTTTATAATATTTTTTAAGCAGAGCTTGGGTTACTTATGCTCAAACTGTGCTTTCATGGTGCAGAGTCCATCAAAAACAAGTAGTTTATTGATGAAGTCTTTTGTGTTTAGCTTATGGAAGTTCAAACTGAAGTATTACTCTAAATGTTCCCTGGTGATATGCCTTTCTATGTCAGCAGTGGTTCTCCTATCTGGAGGGGGCTCCTTTAGTCTTTACTACCAGCTGTAGAATGGACAAGTACAGAATGGGGAAAATTCAGTGGGCAGCTTGCTTCTCTAAATAACGAGAGCCAGAGCAAATGGTGTGCTTATTGGGGAAGACCAGAGGAGAGAACTTTAGATTCAAAGCTTCCTTCAGGTACATGGCAGAAACAATCAATTCATACATGAGCTTACTTGAGTTGCATACATGCAGGGTCTTTTTTAATTGTTTGTATTTATTTTAAGACATTGAACATGACCTTCTTCAAATTCCTCAGTGAGAAGTCTCAGAGAAAAATGTTCCTTTTCGTTTAAAACCTGCGTGTTTCTTGACCTTGCATGTACTTCTACCTCAGCAGTGCTGTAGGTTGGTTAGAAAACCCATAGGAAGGATCCTGTTTTCTAAACTTCTTCTTTTGGCTTTAGTGTAATTGCTGTATAATTCAGTAGATCTGCTGTTGGTTTGGTTTCTGGGAAAAGATTCTGGCCTTTCTGAGGCAGGACAGCACAGCATGAGACAGTGGCAGAAGCCAGGAATTGGTTATGCCATTGACATAAATATGTGGCTTTGCAAATCTCGACCTGTTTACCTCCTCTCGGTGAAATGGTAACTATAAATACCTCCTCCCACACAAGAGCTGATGTTAGGAATAGCAAAATAGTGTTTGCACAAAACTAGAGATGATGAAGATTAAAGGCTAACATTGCTCTGTCATCTCTGACTCTTTATATTTCCCATCATCTGCACAGTCAAATGTTCTGTGCCCTTAAAAGCTGCAAGCACAGGAACAAAATCCTAAGTTCAGTTTGATTGTGGCAATTATCATCTATTGGATATACCGATGCAAGGATGGTGCAAAAAAAAAAAAAATCTAATGTTTAGATGGTCCCTTTTCAACCAGGATTGTATTTTTCTCAGCAGAGAGTGGAAGCCTCTGTTTCACTCTTTTTTTTTTTTTACTCTAAACATAACACTTTAATGCAAGTAGAGAGATGCAGACTGGTGACCCTGAGTGTCTCAGTGTGAGCAATAGCAGCTAGTGTCAACCAATAACAGCGGCAGCTTTAATGCATATCTTCCTCCCACATGACCCTGCCATAGTGCCTTGATGCTGACCTGGAGAAGCATCCTGTATCCGCCAGATGGTCCCTGTTGTCTTTGCTGTTCATTTGTAGCCTCTGCACTAGGAATGCTGGCAGAGGGACTGGTTGGTGGGAATCATGGTGTGTGAGTGGTTTGTGTGAAATAATTGCCTGCCTTTCAAGGAACTAAAATAGGACCCTCCTGTCCTTCTTATATAAAACAGAATATGATGACTTCATTTTCTTTTCACCTGTCTTGAGTTTGATTTTGCTGTGAAGGTCGAGGAAAGGCTCAGTGTCCTATCTCTTGCCCGCAGACCACCTGGCCATCTCTAACAGTTCATCATCTGTTTAGCCAATGATCCTCTGAGTGATAAAATACTTTCCAAGCCCTGTTTTGGGGGTTGTTGGGGTAAGGGAGAAAGCGGCGATAGGAAGAGGTACTACTGCAGGCGTGGTGAGCAGCATTTGGAAATTAAAAGCACCTGTAAAATAAAAGGTTGACATGCAGCTCATGACTTAAAGAGGCCCAGTTTAAGTGAGGGCAGACCATTCTTACTGTTGAAATGTGAGCACCTACTTCTGTTTTGTTTTCTGTGTTTGGGTCGTTTGCCCTTTCGCCTTTGCAGCCAATTTTCCTTCTCTTTCCCATACATGTCTTCCATGGGCAAGCTCTCCTGCCCATTCAATCATCATCTTCCCTTCCCACTCTTCTCCCTGCCATGGTATTTATCAGCTGGGGCTGCCAATGCCTCCCAGTCTGCTTGCTCCATTTGTGGTTTTCTGGCATGTAAAAAGCAACACTAGAGCAACAATAGAAGATCATTGTCAGGTGCAAGGGGGAGGAGGGGAAGGTGCGATTCTTGATTCCAGGCCAGTGTGTTCTCACCACAACCTTGGCTCCAGTGACTGAGAAGTTTCTTCAAGGCCCCTTAAGAATAGAAAGCTAAAAATAGTTTTATAGTTAGATGCTTTTAAAGGTATGGCTAACCCTTTGCTTTCCTGGACTTGCAGCTTCTTTCTAAAAACAAGACACATCCATTTGTGAGAACATGCATGGAGCTATTGACTTTGTATAGGATGCTCCCAGGACAGCTAAGTAGTTCTTGGTCTATTCCAAATTGGAAAATAAACTCTGGCAGTGGAGTCCTCTTACAGAGCAAGGAGACCATGTCCGTCACCATCAAATACTCTAGTGAACCAGTAGACAGACCATGTCCGTCACTTGAGAAACCACTGCCATCATCAAATACTCTAGTGAACCAGTAGACCAGCCCACCAAGGACAGTGTTTGCTTCTGTTGTTTTGCTTTTATGACTCCTATAGACCATTTTTAGAAGATATAGAGGACTTCCTTATTCTCTAGATTCTTTCTTAGCTGGATTAACTATTATGACTATACCAGTTACTTGTGTGGTATATTTTTAATTTGGAAGAATTACTCTTCAGGGAAGGACTGAATTTGAAATTGAAAGACAGATAACCTAATCCTAATTTTGTTTTTAAGATCACTGCTCTCCAGTAGCAAATGCAATAGCTTTCAACAGTGCAAGAGTGCAAGTGGGAAGGCAGTACTATTACACTTATCTGGGTAAAGATAATGAAGTAGAGCAACTTTCAGCTAAAATCAGCTTAAAAACAGGAATGGGAAGAGAGTAGCTGAAAAAAACATTCCATAGTTCTCAGCAGCATGTCGAGTGACCTTTCTGTACTTGAAAGGTGTAATTCAGGTTTGTAACATGGAGACAATTCAC